TCCTGCTGATTGGCGGAGGTACTGCTGCTTTTGCTGCAGCCAGATCCATCCGGGCTCGGGATCCTGGGGCCAGGGTAAGGTGCATATTATTTTGCTTAGTACGGAGGGCATGGTCTGCAAGCTCTTAGCCAGCGTGAACACTTAGACATTTGCCTCTTAAGAGATATGCCTCTGATAAGCATCATTTATTTTTATGTCTAAAGGTCCTGATTGTATCTGAAGACCCTGAGCTGCCGTACATGCGACCTCCTCTTTCAAAAGAACTATGGTTTTCAGATGATCCAAATGTCACAAAAACATTGCGATTCAAACAGTGGAATGGAAAAGAAAGAAGGTATATCCACTTATGTAAAATGGGCCTGACTGTAACTTCAACTAAGCGCGGGAGTGGGTTAGGATTTTGCCTCTGACTATGTACATGAGTAGGAAGGATGACTCGCCTATACTCTGGAATCTACTCTGGTACACAGTTTGTGCAGCTCAGTGGCAATAGGCTACAAAGAGCGAGAGTCCTGGATTCTGTTACTGACCCACCAACAGTTGTGGGGTTGGCCATGTGGGATCTGGTGCCTTAACTGCTATACCACCTGCTGGTCCCAAGGAAGAGCCTCTTTATTGGAGTGGTTACACAGGAGACATGGAGGTACAGGTCCAGAAGCCTTTTACTTCCAAAAGACTCCTCAGATCTCTTGATTTCAATACCATGTTTTTGAGGTTCCGTTTTTTTTTTTATTATTATTAGTCATTCCTTTGAAACTGGACTAAACTTTATAAACCTAGCCACCTCCTTCACCCTCAATGTCCCATTTTCAAGTAGGATGCATTTTTTTTTTTTTTTTTTTTTTTTGGAGAGGTTTTTGCTATAGGGCACATGCGCTCGCCAGACAGACAGAGAAAGACAGAGAGACAGAAAGTGAGAAATCACCCCCCGGGGGGATGGTCACGCCACAATCCCTTCTCCTCCATTCTCCTCTCAGGATCTTGGGTGCGCACATACATGCGCCTGGCGTGAGTTTTAAGCCACCGGGTCTGGGACGTGAACCGCAGTTGACTACGTGGGAGTCCAGCGACATAGCCATTACGCTAACTACTGGTTCCCAGGATGCGTATTTCCAAATGAGTTAACCATCCATCCCCTAATTAATGTAATTAACTGTTTGAAGCAGAATCATCTCAGAAGCTAGACCTCTAGTTGTTCCATTCTAGCGACTCATTTTGGTGGATATGTGAACACCAGCTCTTTGGGTGCTGCTTTATTTATTTATTTATTTATTTTAATTTGAACAGAGAGGGACAGAGTGAGAGAGAGAGGGAGAGAGAGAGAAAGTGAGAAAGCAAGCTGCCAAGTCCAGGACTTGAACCACAATCAGCCATGTGGGAGTCCAGCACCCTTAACTACCATGCCACCTGCTGGCCCCAACCTCAGCATTGTTGACATTTGGGACGGATAATTGTTGGGGTGAGGGGCTGTCTGGAACATTGTAGGTATCATGTAGGTAGCTGTTTACATGCTAGATATCAGTGGCATCCACTGCCCAGTTGCTATGCCCAAAACATTGTCAACATGCCTGAAGGCAAAATGGTCCCCAGTTGAGAACCACTGATCTAGAATACCTGTATATAAGCAAGTCATGACCAAGCCTTGGAGACTGATTTTGGAAACTATTCCTAAAAGTTTTTTCTTTTTTAATTTTGCCAGAGAGTGGATGCACTTGCCAGACAGAGAAAAGAGTGGGGTGAGGGAAAAAAGGCATACAGGATTTGGAGTGTGCACACGTGTGCCCAAGTGTGTCATTCAAGCTGCTGGGGTCAGGATTTGATCCATCCAGTCAGCCATGTGGGATCCAGCTCCCCCATCCACCAGGCCATGGGGCCAGTCTTAAATTTGTTCATAATGAAAACAGTTTTATTAAAGCTTCTAGGGAAGCTGATAGCAGTTCCGGGTGCTTATAACAGTTCCTTCCTCTTCTCCATACAGCATATATTTCCAGCCACCTTCTTTCTATGTCTCTGCTCAAGACCTGCCTCACATTGAGAATGGTGGTGTGGCTGTCCTCACTGGGAAGAAGGTGAGCTAGTAGGCTGTGTCCTTTGTCAGACTCTGTATCTAGGCCCACCAGCTACCATTTGTGTCTGTCTTGCCATTGTACTTCACCAAAGGGTTGAGTCATTTGAGGTTTAACGTTGCTCGGTGTGCCTTTCTGGGGAAAGCACTGGTGTCAAGCCTAGGATAGCATGTTGACTAAACTGTCCCAGGGAAGTCGCATACTTGGGGGTCATGACTCTAAAAGCTGTGTCTTTTCCTGTTAGCTCTTCTGCCCTTCTCTTTCTTCCTGTGTTTCCAGGATTATTGATAAGAGATTGACAAATCTGTATTATTGAAGACAGTAAAATAATTTAGGTATAACTCAGAATGAAAAATATGAGAAATCTTTAAAAAGTTTATGGAAATTACATATTATAAATAAATAAATAAATAAATAAAAACAGGGACCAGCAGGCGGCATGGTGGTTAAGGCACTGGACTCCCATATGGCCAGCTGTGGTTTGAGTCCTGGACCTGGCAGCTTGCTTGCTCTCTCTCTTTCTCTCCCCACCCTCCTTTTCACTGGTGAGTGCATGTGCCTAGTAACAAAGTAAAAGAAAAAATAATAATGATAAATACAATCAGATAATTCTTAAATAAAAAAGAAAAGCATGGATTTCAAAATAGTTTTTTTGCACCAAAATAAACTCATACTGTAATACTACTTTTCCACAAATTTTTGGAAGTCTCCTTGTATTGTTTGACTTTACACGAGTGAGTACCCAAGTAATGGCAGCAGTTCACTGGAGGGCATTTGTCAGGCCCCGAGAGGGTTTGGTTTTGTTGTGTCATGTTTTATTTTTGTTAATGGGAAATAATATTAGGTTGTCAGGAAAGTCATGATGTATTTTCCTGTTTTTCTATGCAAAAACGCATCATGACTTTCCCAAAGACCCAGTAGAATGTGCTTGCAGACTAATGGCAATGTTCCCGTATGGCGGGGAGGGGCGCTCTGAAGCAGCAAAGGCTAGAGTAGATGGGATCCAGAGCACAAGTGGAAGGTTTGACCTCTAATAGGGACAGTCCTCTGTACGGGGACATTAGGCAGAGAGATGGATATAGCTTTGTGGATAAGCTGGTAATGAGGCATGTGTTAAGTGTGCCCTGTGTGTAAATAACACACAGTTCTTACACTCAGGTGCTAACAGCATTAGGCAGAAGCACGAGCAGATAGTCATGACATATAGACACATACACATTGTATTGTGGGAAGAGTAGCCAGGAGAACGATGGTTTCAGGGAAGCCTCCTGGAAGAGAAAGTCTTATAAAACATGAAGGCTTATGGAATGAAAAAACATTCACCAGAATAGAGAAGGGTAAAGAACATTCAGGTTAAAAAGAACAGCACAAGCAAAGGCATGAGGGTAGGACAAGGCATGTTTTTTGCAAAGAAATGCAAGCAGTCAGTACTGATAGGGCACAAAGTACAAGTTAGGGAAGCAGGAGAGGAAACTGACAAGTTCTGTAGGGGCCTGATCATGGAGGGTTTTGTCGTGAGAGAGAACTTGAGCATTTTTGTTTTGTTTTGTTTTGTTTTGTCAGAGAGATTTTTGTTATAGGGCTTGTGTACTCTCCAGAGAGACAGAGAGAGAGAAAGTGAAAAGTCATCCCCCATGGGGGAGTGTGGCCATACCACAATCCTTTCTCCTCCATTCTCCTCTCAGGATCTTGAACACACACACACATGCACCCAGTGTGAGTTTTAAGCTGCCATGTCCGTAACTTGAACTGTAGTTGACTATGTGGGAGTCCAGCAGTGTAACCATCACGCCATCTGCTGGTCCCAAGAACTTGAACTTTTTTTTCTTTTTTCCCCCAAGAATTATTTATTTATTTAATTCTATTTTATTATTATTTTTAAAATTTTACCAGAGAGAAAGAGAAAGGGAAAGTGAGAAAGCAAGCCACCAGGTCTGGGACTCAAACCATGGTTGGCCATGTGGAAATCCAGCACCTTTAAGTACCATGCCACCCGCCAGCCCCAAGCTTTATCTTCACTGCTAAGTTTTAGACGAAGATGTAGCACACTTTGATTACTTAAAAAAAAAAAATACTTTTGCCAAAGGGTGCATGCACTTGCCAGAGAGAGACAGAAAATAGAGGGAGAGAGAAAAAGCAACCCCAAATGGGGTAGGGTCTGACACCATCCCATTTTTCCATCCTGTCAGGATTGTGGGCACATAAGCACATACACACACCTGGCATAGGGCCAGGATTCGAGTCACACTGTTGGCCATTTGGGATCCACCTCTTTTAATCACCAGGCCATGGGGCCACCCCAATGAATTTTAAATAATCACCATTGACTGTGAAGAGGATGGAGTCCAGAGAGACAAGACCAAAGATAGTCCATTTCAAAGATTAATTCAATAATCTAGGCAAGAAACGATGAAAGTCCAAGTTAGGATAGTGGCACAAGTAGTAGTGATGATGATGATCGTAAATAAAAAGGTAAGACTTAAAATTTATATAAAGCCTATTCTGTTTGATATTTAAATTTTCCCTAGAGCATGTACACTCAGAGGAGAGACAGAAAGGGAAAGTGAGAAGGCACTCCCCAGGTGGGATGACTATGCCACAGTCCCTTCTCCTCCATTCTCTTCTTGGATTTTGAGCGCATGCACACACAGGCCCAATGCATTTTCCAGGCCACTGGGTCCAGGGCTTAGAATCATCCATTCTGAGAGTTGTCGATTCACACTAATTACTGTGTTCTTTGCTGTACAGAAACTTCTTTTTTTAAATTTTATTTTATTTTGGAAAGGTTTTTGTTATAGGGTACATGCACTCGCCAGAAAGACAGAGAGAGACAGAGAGACAGAAAGCGAGAAATTACCCCCCGGAGAGATGGCCATGCCACGATTCCTTCTCCTCCATTCTCCTCTCAGGATCTTGGGCATGCACGCACATACACCCGGCGTGCGTTTAAGCCACTGGGTCCAGGACTTGAACCATAGTTGACTACGTGGGAGTCCAGCAACATAGCCATTACGCTATCTGCTGGTCCCTAGAACCTATTTAATCATTTTTTTAAATATTGCTTATTTATTTAACTTAATTTGTTGTTGTTGTTGTTTTATTTTTCATTTGACCAGAGACAGATAGACAGAAAGGGAAAGTGAGAAAGCAAGCTGCCAGGTCTAGGACTCAAACCATGATCGGCCATGTGGGAATCTAGTGCCTTAATCACTATGCCACCTGCTAGCCTCTGTAATCATACTTTTTTTTGTTTTGTTTTCTTTTGTTTTGTTTGGAGAGGTTTTTTCTATTGGGCACCTGCGCTCCTGGGAAGAGAGAGAAAGAGACAGAGAGATAGAAAGCAAGAAATCACCCCTTCAGGGAGGATGGCTACGCCGCAATCCCTTCTCCTCCATTCTCCTCTTGGGATCTTGGGCATGTATGTACACACGCCCAGCATGAGTTTAAGCCACCAGGTCCGGGACTCGAACCGTGGTTGACTACATGGGATTCCAGCAACATAGCATTACGCCAACTGCTGGTCCATCTAATCATAGTTTTAAAGTGCTTTGTGTATATGATCTGATTTTATCCTCGTAATAATCTTACGAGATTGGTGTTGTTATTTCCATTTTATAGAGAAAGAAACTGAGGGGGCCAACAGATGGCATGGTGGTAGGGGTGCTAGACTCCCACATGGCTGACTGTGGTTCAAGTCCCAGACCTGGCAGCTTGCTTTCTCACTTCATCTCTCTCTTTCTCACTCTGTCTCTCTCTGGTTAGATTAAATAAATTCGTAATAATCTTACGAGATTGGTGTTGTTATTTCCATTTTATAGAGAAAGAAACTGAGGGGGCCAACAGATGGCATGGTGGTAGGGGTGCTAGACTCCCACATGGCTGACTGTGGTTCAAGTCCCAGACCTGGCAGCTTGCTTTCTCACTTCATCTCTCTCTTTCTCACTCTGTCTCTCTCTGGTTAGATTAAATAAATAAATAAGGGGACCAGCAGATGGCATAATGGCTATGTCACTGGACTCCCATGTAGCCAACTGCGGTTTGAGTCCCAGACCCGATGGCTTAAAGTCACGCCGGGTGCATGTGTGTGCGTGCCCAAGATCCTGGGAGGAGAATGGAAGAGAAGGAATTGTGGCATGGCCATCCCCTGGGGAGTGATTTCTTGGGGACCAGCAGTTAGTGTAATGGCTATGTCGCTAGACTCGCACGTAGTCGACTGCAGTTCGCGTCCCAGACCCAGTGGCTTAAAACTCACACCAGGCGCGTGTGCGTGCATGCCCAAGATCCCGAGAGGAGAATGGAGGAGAAGGGATTGTGGCATGACCATCCCCCCTGGGGGGTGATTTCTCGCTTTCTGTCTCTCTGTCTCTGTCTGTCTGGCAAACGCACGTGCCCTATAGCGAAAACCTCTCAATCAATCAATCAATCAATCAATCAATAAATAAGGTGCCGGCTGGTGGCATGGTATTTAAGGGTGCTGGACTCTCACGTGGTTGAACACTATTTGAGTCCTGGGCTTGGCAGCTTGCTTTCTCTCTTTCTCTCTCACGCTCTGTCTCTCTGAAAAAATAATGATAATAAATAAATAAATAAATAAATCTTTAAAATAAGTAAATTAATAAATCCATATAAAGTAATTATTTTTTAAAAATGAGGGCTTGTTTTGTTTTGTTTTAGGAAATAAATGAATTTCAAGGCCTAAACTCACACAGCTAATAAGTAGTAGAGAAAGAATTTGAGCCAGTTCTGTCTGACTGCAGATTAGAACCCAGGCCCTCTGATTCTGGAGTCTAAACTCAATAATACCATTGTAGGGGCCAGTAGATGGCACTGGATTCCCACATGCCTGATTGCAGTTCAAGTCTGGGATCTGGTAGCTTGCTTTCTCACTTTCCTCCTCTCTCTCTCTCTCAGAGGTGCCCATAGCAAATTAGAAACAACAACAACATCAGTAATAAAGTTAAACAAACAATTATTTTTAAAATAATAATACTGTTATATTCCTTCCTGATAGAAAGATAGGGTCAAACCAGAGACATGCTTGGGAGGCATCTTTGGCAAGGCTTCATGGTTGCTCGAAGGTAGAGGGTGAAAGTGAGGGAGGAAGTGAAGACCGTCTAATTTCTGGCTCACACACCTGAGTGGATGGCAGTATACCTCCAACTGAGAAAGACATTAACAAAGGAAGAACTAATTTAAGGGGGAAGATAAAAACGGTTTAGGGCTATTAAATATGAAGGAGAATGTAGGTGTCAGCTAGGTGGTTGGGTACATGATCACAAAGCTCAGTAAGGGTCTGGGCTCAAAGAAAGATTCTAGAATCATCTGCATGTGGAGGAGTTGAAGTCATGAGGATGGTGTGGCCTCTCAGGGAGAACTTAGGTAGTGGGAAGAGGACTACGGCAAGGGTAGAACTCTGGGGAACCCCAACTTTTAAGAGGCAGGCTTAAGAAAAACCCACAAAGGAGTCTAGGAAAGAACTTTAGCAGTATGAAGAAGTTCTAGGGGGACAGGAGCCAAGGTCGGGAGTTTTAAGGAGGCTATGATCTGTGGTGGTACTATGGCAGAGGAATCTGGTGGGAAAAGAATTGTTAAATGTGCCATTAGACTTGGAGGTCCAGACGCCGCTGTGAGGTTAGAAAGGAGGATAAACTACTCTTTCTAAAGTTTAGGTAAGAAAAGGGAGGTGGCAATTGGCCATAAGCTTGACGAGGACATAGACTCAAAGGTGGGACTAATTGGGTGGGAAGGCTTGTTAATGGGTTGAGTATGTAAGGTTTCAGGAGAGAGAGGGAGAGTGGTTGACTGACGGGGAGGTGTGGGGAAGGAAAGGAAGGGCTGGGGGTCAGGCACAGAAACAGGACAGAAAGGACCGCCTCGTGCCAGAAGCTGGGAGAAAGGATGCGAAGGTCGATATGTGTAACTTCCCTCAGTGGGGCCGGGAAGGTGGGGACCCTATGGGAAGCTGAGGAAGAGCACTTCTAATGGCTGTATGGTGATCGTCTGAGAGTGGACAGTGGGAGGTTGAGCACTTGGATTGGACTGAAGAGGGGGCTTACCAAGGACAAATCAGAGGAATTGAAAGAAGCTTGTCATTCATCAGATCTCCGTTCACACACAGCATCGCCTCTGGAAAGCTGTAGCCAGCCCACATGGACTAGATTGGGTGCACCTGCCATAGGTTCTTAGAACTACCTGTACTGCCCTCAACACTTGTGTGACGTAGGTCACTCTGGATTATTGTTAGTGCTTATTACATCTTGGCTTCTAATCTCTAAAGGTAGGGAAGCTGTCTTTTACACCTTTAGCACAACACCTGACATATAGTAGGTCCTTAAGAAATATTGGGTTGGGGACGAGCAGTTGGCATAATGGCTATGTCGCTGGACTCCCATGTACTCGACCACGGTTTGCATCCTGGACCTGGTGGCTTAAACTCACGCCGGATTCGTGTGCGTGCGTGCCCAAGATCCCGAGAGGAGAATGGAGGAGAAGAGATTGTGGCATGGCCATCCCCCCTGGGGGGTGATTTCTCTCTGTCTGTCTCTGTCTGTCTGGTGGGTGCACGTGCCCTCTAGCAGAAAAAAAAAAGTGGATTGTTAGAAAACTCATGATGTATTTTTTTCTATGCAAAAATGCATACTGACTTTTCCAATGACCAAAATCTCTTGAACAAATGCTAGTAAGGAATAGAGCAGTGGCTAGAACCCTATTCTTTTTCATTTTTTTTTTTTAGCGGTTTTTGCTATAGGGCATGTGCACTCGCCAGC